GAGCTGGCCGAAACTAACCTCAACTTTTTTCACCCCTGACATTTAAAAGTCAGCCTTTGTTCCAACTATGAATGTTTTTGTATATTACAAGAACAGTAATCAGTGTAACATTTTACCCTCCTCCTTAGGCTTTAACATTTTTGTAAAAGAGGTGAAGCTAACAAGATTGGCACATATATATATATATATTCTGTATCCGTGACATACTGTTACAGTTCCAAAAACGTTAATGATTGGGACCAAAAAGTGAGATTATTTTTGGCTAGCACCATACTTCAGAATTATACAATGACATGAAAACTCACTGATGTCTGGGAAACGCCTGTGCTGCTGGAATACTATCCAAGTTCTGATACCTAAAACATAATGTAGTCTGGTGACATGTATGTGATTTGAGATCCCAGTTTGATAAACACACATAACTTTAATCCTTCCAAGAAATAATGTGACTGTATTGTATACTATAATGTGGGCTCTGGAGCTTTGTATGCTATGATGATGCATCTAAGTTTCAAGAAACATACACAAATAAGCTTCCCAAGGGTACCAAAAGACAATCATTTCTTCACGGAATTCATGTGGTGTTAAGACCACCGTGTTTCTATGGCCTAGCTGGACAGGTACACTGGTGTTATCTGCTCTTGTACAGAATACATGTCAACTCAGACAAACTTCGTGAAGCTGTGGACCTCAGGCATATTTTTATTCATAGTTTTAAATGAGCTTGCAGCTGGTTTACGAGATCTGCTAGACTGGCATCATTCCTGTGGAATATGGTAAGCTCTCACTAACCTGGAATCAAAAAGATTAAAGAGTAAACCCTGATTCTAGTAGTGACCAAAAATGTTCCAACCTGGAATCTTAAGTAATACTAAGAGATGAACCAAAAAGAGCACCTTGAAGGTTGCTAGCCCTTCTTGTGGCTCTAATGAGGAAATGATGACAAATGGTTTTACCACTAAGAACGCAAATGGATAGACCTCTTGACACAACAGGGGTCAAAATAAGCTGATATTCCCCTTTTGTCTTCGGAGTAGGAATGAAACGCCTAATCCCTGATTACTAAGGTTACATTTTCCGCTCTTCTGTCATCTAAATGAACATTCAGATGTTGCTTCAACAGTACCCTGACATGAAGGCATGGATGGGAAAGGTAATGCAAGAGTACAAATTCACTGAAACTATCTGTAATATTCACTGCTCACACTTCCTTACTCTCGTTAGATCTGGGGATTCCAGATCAGGTTTCCTGAAAGAAAGTCTGTCACTAGAAGTTTTGTAGGTGTCACTTGGCGTAGTAACCTATGCTTCTTCCTTTGTACCTCACACAAGCGAGTTGTGCAGTGCGAAAAATAGTCATCTGCTTCTTCCTTCAGACTGGAATGCATAAGCTCACTGAAAACACAGAGAAGCCCCACATTATTAATGAGCAAAGAGTCTCATTAGCCTTTGAACTGAAGGGGTACTGATCTTTGAATGAAGTTGTTTTTATGGCTTGAACTCCAATCCTGATAGTTACCTCCCCCAGCCACAGTCTTCAGGGCATGGATGTGCCCAAACATCCAAAAACATGTGCGGGCACGTTGCATGCAAGGAGGCATGATACACATGATTTTGGCTATCAGCTGCCTCTCACCAATTAGATTTCACTTCTTCCCACCACTCTGTGGGATTCTTTTTATAAATAGACAACCTCTTTTATTAAAGTTAGCCTTACCTTGACAGGAGCACATGGTGAGTGTCAACACACATTTAGAGAATGACAGAGAAGTAGATCCTGGCAAACAAATCCTAGTTTACTGTCCTTTTTCTTTTCTTTCTTCTTTTCTTTTTTTTTTTTAAAACTGAACTTATTTTAAGTGATCCTTGTTGCTTTAATCTTTCCCAAATAGCAGCCATGAGGTGCTGACCTAGTGCAAAGAAAGCCCTAGAAAGAATCATGGCATGTCTAGAGTGCCAAAAAATGATACTGCAGTTCTATTACCAGAAAATTCCTTGTTAAATGTTATTCCCAGCTCACCAGGCAAAAAAGAGTACAGAACATTTAACACACTATTTGGCTTTCTGGCCACAGTTTCCAGGAGGAACTGAAGAATCTCAACTTCATGCATTTTTTTCAGGTTTTGAAATGCCCTGAAGCCATCCTCTGGACCACCTTATGATCTAGCAAGCTTTCTCAGACAACTAAATCACTCTAGAATTAATTATTCCTCCACCTCTGCTTGCTGATCTTTCTCTTCCTTGTGAAAAAAAGATCTAACAGAAGGCGGCAACAATCAGAACAGCAGAAGATACTGCGTATGAATGCATATCCTGAGCTGGCCAGGGCTGACGAGCATGTAATAATGACATCATAGGTAGACAGAGAAAGAAAGTACTGAAGAATGTTACCATTTCCCATTGAAATGGTGGTGTCAGAACTCTCCTAGATTCTTGATGTGAAACTCCTGAACAGAAATGGAGAGGGAGTGCATGAAAGGCTGTGTGCCAGTAAGATGCACAGCAGTTAGACTATTAATTTTAATTTGCCATCAAGGTCTTGTACATCGATAGAAAACAGATGATACCAATGCCTCAACTGTTGCATTTGACATCAGGTTTTCAGTAACTGAATGCCTTATCAGCACTGTCAATGTTGTATGAATTTGCAATGGAAACTTGGATCCTGGACCCATTGTACCAGATATACTATGAAGCCAAAAGCAACGATACTGATTTAAAATCTGAAAATGTGAATAACAAAACCAAATCAGTCAATGGGCTTGCGCAGTACCGCAGACTCTCTTTGTTACAATTTCTATCAAAGCACAGAAATACCCATCTTAGACCAGTAAGTACTTTCTTCATATGCAGCTTAAGTAATTTTCCTTAATATATGAGGGTAATCTAGGTTTCATTTCTGGAACACGAGGAATATAATTTCTTACAGGGAAGAGAACCTACATGAGGACCTCAGACAAGCCTGGACTGTACAGAACCATTAGCATTCATTGCTTACTATAACAAAAGGTACATGCAGTTACAGGGAGGAGTAGTGCAACATAGTAGTTATTTCAGATCCGATTCACATCTTTCAGTCCAGACAACTAAACTTTGAATCTGTAAAAATACTTCACAAAAAATTTAAAACTTAAAAAATTAAGTTATAGAAAAGAATATCTGGAAAAAAATTAAGCACTGGCTTTTTTTCCCAACTTAATTGCTAATCACTTCAGTTCTAAAGGTAACACTTTTGAACAAAAATATTGGAATACTCCTATAAAGCCAGAAAATTATTGCAGCAAGTTGAAAGAATGCCTAGGACTGCAAATCTTACAGGAAGAAATAAAAGCCTAGACTTTGCCTCCTGTTACTCAAATCCTGTCTTTTTGGGTAATGTGATTCCATATTTTAGCATATGGCCAGCTACCTATGACTTCATACTTGAGGCTGCGCACCAATACAGCTTTAAAATTGAGCATAAATTCCTGTTTTAATCTAACACAGAGAGTCCTCTGAATATCCACTGCCGCCTTCTAGTTTGTCTTTTAATGACTTTTTAATAGGAAACTTACAAAGGAATGAAAATACGATTTCCCATCAACAATACTACTTCTCATTGTTAACAATTTCTTGCAAAACACTATGTATTAGAAAAGAGCAGAACACGCCTATAACTTGTGTCTTGGCAATTTATTCTACCAAAGAGAAAGGCTCTGCATAAGGCTTTCTATCCAGTTGCTGAGAAATAAATTCTCAATTAAATGTCAGTTCAATACAACATTACTCCTCCTTCCCTGATTTCACATGTACACATCTTCTCTGAGAACAACAAGGCAAACCGTGAGTCTCTCACAACATATCTCCATTATTCTTCAAACTGCAGGCATCTAGTGTATCAAAACGACTGCTGCTAGGTAACAGAAGATGTACTGTTACTGGCATTACCCAAAGTAATACCAGACACCATCCACCCTGCTTAGGTTACTTTTGTGCGTACAACTATCTCCTTCCCAGTCACTTTACCAATCATAGCTATGACTATTAGGAAGAATACTTTAGTGTAAGACTACACTAACTACAAGGTCAGAAAAAGAGTCTGCAAGGAGGAATAAAACTTTAGTTAAATCTTTCTGACACTTATCTTGCTACAAAATGGCTTTTAACTCAATGCTGTTCTATCCCAAGTCAAACATGCTTTCTGCTTTTACCACTTCAATGCATGGTAACAAAACACTCCCAAAATAACCATATACATTTCAAAAATAGCAGCAGCCCCTTCCCCTTTTCTGTTCTAAAAGGCAGTGAGTGATTTTTATCTTTTAAAAAAAACAGTCACAAGGTTTATTCAACATGGCACTGAAATGCCTCGCTACTTTCGTGTTCATCCAGTTGGTTAACAACTGATTCTTAGCCTGTATCACTTGCAAAAGCGCTGTGACAAATGAGATTATTAACCCTTTTATAGTGCCACAGCACAGTAAAATTCAGCAAAACATAACCATCTCTTCTAGAAATGCCATTTCCAATTATTAGAAAGTGAAAAATGACTGGGGATAAGCTGTTCATTCAAACTAGAAAAAGAACTTTGATAAAGCCTATTGTTTATCTGACAAAAAAATATGTTTTATCTGAAAACCTGCTGGCAGGTTTTCATGATATGGCTTCCCTGGCACAGCCTGACTTTAAAGAAAAACACTGGCAAGGTAAAACAGTGGAATAAACTGAAAAGCCAAACCAAAAATAGCAACAAAAAAATTCACACCAATAAATACGAAAGTAACCGGGACAAAATAAAAAGCATAGGTGCTGAGAGGGAGAAGAAAACACAAGACAATTTAGAAAGAGACAGTCAATTCAAAAATACATTTTATGTCTCTGATGAATTTACATGATGCAAACAAATGCTAATACTAGATTTGATTATTTATACAGAAGAATCATGCTATTTTTATGTTGTATTTATGCTTGCCTCACCTGTTTTCAACATGATTTTATATTTTTTAATTACCCAAATTTACCAGATTCCATGGTCATCTGAAGTAATCCATCAAGAGCACTGGAAAGCAGACCTCTACTGGATACTTTTAAGTGACTTAATATGACAGGTACACATTGGTATTCCAAAAATAAGGCTTTCCCCTCATCTGTCTTCAAGTCTATGCGAAGGGAATCAAATGCTTGAGCCAGGTAATCCACTGAAAGATATCAGAACACAGGCAATAAAACTTCTATAATCATAGTTCCATTAAGCAATATGTGAATAGCTATCCTGAGAGTTACTGTTGCAGATATATACTTAAAAGTTAAATGGCTGAAAATATTGAATTTTATTTTTATTTAAAGACATCCTCTGCCGGTTTTTATTCCTTAACAATTTGTTGTGAGTGGAGAAAAAGACTAACTACAATTCATATGTTGAAGAAAAATATACTTACAAATATAAAGCCCTTCTAATATTTTGCTGAAGAGGAAAGAAATTACAAGCTCGCATAGTTTGAGATAATATTGGTTTCAACATCTGGGAAACCTCTATTAAAGGAGTCAAGGGCTGATCTGTCTGAATAAGAGAAACTACTTTCATGAGAGCAACTACTCCCATTCCTTTCTATGAAAAGCTGTAGTTTAAGTTTCAGTGCATACATTTTATATACTCATCCATTGTGGAGTGCACTAAATTATACGAAGAATGTAGATTAAGTGAACCAATCTAATTTTCTTCATTTCCTGATGTCAAATCTTCCTCAGTATCTTGGAATAGCATTGATCATCCTGAGCGCAGAAAATTAAGTATAAGGAAACCATTTGTCCTGTAGCAAACGTTTAACTACAGTGCCATCTGCTGGATACTGGCATTTTGAAGGAAATGGGCTACATGTTCAAACCAAATGTGCTACCTTATGACTAGATCATTAGTGCCATGTGGTCAGAGTGATCAAAATTCATGCACAGTGATGTTTGACATATGTTTAACAACAGAGCGTATTTTTCATGTTATAGAAGCCAGCAGTAAAAAGCAACCATGAGAAGCTAAACTGATTCATTCTAATCAACAGTGTTCATCTGCTTAGGGCAAGTAAGTCTCTGCAATAACTATTTTTTGTATTGCAATTCTTTTGCATCGTTTTTATCAAACATTTCTAGAAACGTGAGTCTCAATTTAAGAGTAATTATCATGCTTTACCAAAATATCTTGACTGAAATAGTTTCCTCCAACAGCTGAAATACTGTATATGTTCATTAATGATGTCAGGGTAGTCTTCCACCATGTTTACATCCTGTGTTTACTGTAAATACTCACAATATAAATACTGCACAGGTCAGTTAAGCATAAAGACATACTAATCTGCTTAACCATCTAATCCAGAAGGATGAATTCCATGAACAAGAACATTGCTCATTATTTATGGATTTAAAATCTTTGGCATCCCTGATTAGTGTCAATCAGGGTGCCAGAGATTGCAGCAATTTTGTGATATGGATCTCTGCTTTCTAAGAAATGGCCCCAAACCCATAACATATTTCATGCAAGAGACTGAAAAAAATCAGATGCCAAAGTAGGCATCTGATTCTGACACTCTGGCATGGTTTTTCAGGATTACCTTGAAAATTAACATCTCTGTAACCTGTCTCCATCTCTTTGTGTTACTAGCAGAGGGGATGTGTTACTAGTAAAGACATTTTAAAATACAAACCATTCTGAGAACAAAAGATAGCAAAAATAGAATCATGGAATAATTTAGGTTGGAACCTCCTGTCCAAAGCAGGACCATCTCTGAAGTTAGATCAGATTGCTCATAGTCGTAACCCCACTGAACAATTACTTGCTATCAAAATGATCTGTGCTTTTAAAATGTCTTTGAAAAGGGAAAAATAAGTGGTTAGTATCACAAAGAGTTGGAAAAGGGTTATAGATACGTTCATTCTTATGCTACCCTTGTAAAACTTATTCTTGCAGAAAATCTCAGTTATGCAGCACCACAGTACTCCAAAGTTGCTGCAGGTAGGCAGTAATCACCTCTTACACCTGCTCTTAATGGTATATAATTAGTGTTTTCTGCCTGACTTCCATAAAAAGGATCTGCAACACCTCTTGTTCCCTATTTCCCTTGAAGAGAGAAAAGGCTTCATAACTGAAGGCAGGAGTTAACAAATCAGCTGAGAGAACAGTTACTATTCTATGAGATATATTTTCCACAGTTTTTTTCTCACCCTGTCCAGACACAATCTGATTCTTGTTAACTCCTAGTGTCTACTTTAAAATCTTTACCTTCTCCCTCTCCCACGAGGCAGGGAAGACCCAGCTTCCCCTATTTCTTTGCCAACACAACATTATATAGGTTTTAAGTAGAAAATTCTACTTTACACTACTATTATACATCTTCTGCTAGTGTGAAAGGTGGGAGGATCCAGGGAACAACGTGCAAACAGAAAAAAACCTCACAGTGAAAGGAAAGAGTCATTCACCCTGTGATGCTCCCTTACACCCCCTCTCCCCAATTCTTTTCAGTTAACAAAAGGCAGAAGTGTGAGCTGAAAATGATATAGCTGTTTCAGATACAATAATCCACTAACAGGCATTGAAGGCTGTCTGGACTATGTTGTTTAAGAGGATATTTGAATTCCCCCCCCCAAAGAAATAAACACACAAAAAATCAAGTCTATATATAGTCAGAAGCTCAACTTGATAATATGTGACAATTATATTGCATTTCGGATTCAGAGGGGACCTATCAACTCTGCTGCTTTTATGCCGATGGACTCTTTTTGCATAGGTGAACAAAATTGCTTCATAGCAATCATTGAAACGATTATTGAATTAAAACAATTAAGTCAAAAGAGAAAGCTAATAATAGAAGTCAAAATAAGACGTTCTTTTGGATTACTCATCAAATTTGGTTCTTAATTTACGAATTAAGAACCTTCAAGCATAATTCAGATTAAGTACTGCTGTTGAAGGTTTCAAAGTCATATATAAATTAGAAATAGGTAAGAATTTGTTTAAATGACCAAAATTAATCTGTAAGTTAATTTTAAAATATCTCTATAAATCAGATTGATTGAAGGTTTTTCTTCTTTGGGTTCTGACAGAAAAGTGTACACCAATCTCTACGTCAAAAGGATAAGGAAGGAAAAGCATTAAAAATCTGAGTTCGTGCCTCTTCTCATAGTGTGCTCAACATTCAGAGCTCACAAGAAACAGTCCATTTTTGTCATCACTTTAAAGAAAATGGTTTAGTCTTTTCAGATCATATCTGTTTTCAAAGAAGGCCCCACTGAGAAGATTTGCCACAGCATCTTGAAAACTGCACAAGTGGAGTAACCTGTCATAACCTGAAGCAGATGTCACTGTTTTCAGAGCTGTGTTATCTCCTGATACGACCTTGTTTGCTTTTGCCTTGTTAACAAAGTACATTACTGTACTACATCAACATAGGAATTTTGGAATATTGTGGATAAAAAGGCCACTTTTCATGCTAGACAGGTGGCTTTGAAGTCTAAAACATTTTTATGTTAACAGAACATGGTGCCTTTGTAAATGAGTCTATTTAACAGTGAAATCTGAATGGACAATCATATCAAGAACTGCCAATTTCATAGAGTAGCATCTTTCAATGCTGATAATGTTTTATGGGTAGCCATTTGCAGCGCCAGACTTGGTAGGAGAAGAGGGGAGCAGCAGACAGGTAAGGGCTGGAGTATGAACTGTACTAAACTTAGACCAAGGGACAAAGCAATTTCAGGACATACATTGTATCACAATTCAATCTAACAATTATCCACTACACAAGTGGCTTTCTCTGTGTAACTACAGACACATCAGAAATACCTATAAACATCAGATTTATCTATAAAGATAAATGCAGCAAAGTTGTAACTAACTATGTCAGAAAAAAAACACTTGACACTGCAGCTGATCGGCCTTTCAGGGGATAGGTAAACAACCCACTAGCTTAAACAGGACAGTGACATTCTAGAACTGTGCAAAACCTGCTACTCAGTTTATAAAAGAGCAACTAGCTGTGCCATTCCATGCAGTAAAGATCTTGGCAATCCAATCACTGCTGTAGTGACAGAATTACCAACATCTCTTTTCCTCTTCTTCAGAAATGTTGATTTGTCTGACAAGAGTCGTCATACTAAAAGGAACACATAAATTCCAACATGAAATGAATAAAAGCAAGATTCATAATTGTTTCCAGTACATTTTGCTTCACAAGGTAGTAAAATTCAAGTAAAACCACTTTTCACTAAAGCATAATAGACACTACAGTATCACTGAAATGTCTTTTGTCCAAGCACATGACTGAAATAAATAAATAACTTTAAAAAAAATTGGAACTTACCTTGTGTCACTGTTTTAAGCACAATTAAAGTTGACAGAAACCTCAAAGGCATACAGGAACTCTTAAAGAAAGCTGCCGATTTTGATTTACTCTCTGTAGACTGTTCAGAAGAACTATGTGGGTTTCCCTTACTTACTATGCCTTTGAAAATATCTTCGCCAAGTCTCCTCATTGTTGATGTCATTGTTGCATGCTGTTTCAAACAATGCACACAGTTAGTGTAAACATTAAAACACATTAAAATCCTGTGTACTGTGTAGATATACATATGTTGCCCTAGTGATTAAATATTAAATAGCAAATGGTTTGACCACGTATTGGAATATAATCTGTATAGGAGACACTACTTTGCGTTCCAAAAGCAGTTGAACAACATTATCATGGCACCTTATCAACACGTACTTCACAAAGAGACTAGTTAGTGAGGACCCCTGATGTGCTGACATTATTTGAGTTGCCTCTGGTTCCAGAACAAGCTCGGCTTCAAGTCAACTCTATTTTCTAAGGTTGCCTGAATTTATATCCTGTAAAAGCATTTACAGAATCAAGGTCTAAACGTGAACCTTAAGATCACTGTACAGGTAAGATCTATTAGACTTTTCATCATACACTATACAAAAATATTACTTCAGAATCAAACCACAACACGCTCATTTAAAATACAGTTCTTATTAGCACTAAAACCAACAGCTTACTATTCTATTGAATTTAAACTCAAGATATTTACAAAGTTTCCTACTTTTTGCTTTAGCAAAAGCACTACTGACAGCACTATGCACTATACTGAGTCTTTACAGTACAGCTACTGTCTTTTTCTTTATTATACTGCTAAATATTTTCTTATAGCAGTCTCATCAAAGGGCGTAAGGAATGTGGTTAGACACTGAGCAGAGATCAGAAAAACCAAAATTCCTTTGCTGCTTTGCCGCACACTGCCATCAATTTCAACAAATCTCATGCATAAAGTGAACCTAAAAACATCGCCTTTTCTAGTGCAAAAGTTTTGTAAATACATCTGTAAAAATATAATTTCCGAGATGCTTAGACACCACAGAGATCGCATACTTACGAAAACTATGTTTAGATACACAACGCAAAACTTAAAATTAACTTGAAAAATAATTTATTTTTTTCATTTGCCATGTATCTGTGGTAAACACTATGAATTTATGCTTTGCAAAGACAGTAGAGTTTCTTTTATATATACTACCTGAAAACATCCACTTTTCATATGTATTTAAAACAAAATCCATTAATATCTTCTGGGAATTTAGTTTTTAAAAAAATGTAATGCAAGAGGACTACTTGTTTTACCTGAATACCATCATCTAGCTGTCTTATAGACCAGTAAATAAATTTAATCACAGGCATGTGTAGTTTAGGATTCACAAATGGCATCCACTGGAGTTGCTCAGTAGCTATAGGCAAAAGCTGTAAAAATATACAAAAGTAAAATTACATGCAGTATATGAAATTACTGTATAAGCTAACCATAAGTGAAAAACAAACAAACAAAACTCCCAACTTTCTCTTGGAGTTTAACAGATTACATATACCAATACTTACCGGACAGATCCAGTACAGGTAACAGAATTATATGCATACACAGATTTTAAATTTTACAGAGGTTTACATGCAAAAGTGGAGATACATCATGTGAGCCCAATCTCAGTAAATCCAAGCCCAATGGCTATAAATCTTAAATACAATGAAGAAAAACAGTAAAAGAACACTTTCTGAACACCTCGCTGATTTCCAAACCTTGGTATCCCCAGAAAGAAAACAACAAACGTGTTAAAAGTATAGCATAGTATCACCTTTTATCAGTCATAAATCGAAACTTTAATATCTAATATGGGCATCAAGATATTTTAAATTAGACATGTTCATCTCCTTAGAAAAAAGGAATTATGTACAGTATTACATATAAAACACAAGACAAATTATCAACTGACAGAAGTGACTTGAGGTAAAATGCTGAAACTCTCAAGTTGAGACTGAACAGCACACTTTTCCTTAAAAATTATCTGTATGCTTTATGCATGACAGATTATCTATTGTATCTCCCTGTCAGAATTAATACTGACTTATTAAGAGTGATTTTGTTTTAATTACTGTATCCAAAGCATGTATAAAACAGGCTGACCTGTTATATTCTCAAAATCGTTTAGTAAAACCCATAAATCTGAAAACATATTAACACAAGCAAACAATCCAAACTCTTTTACCTTCATACAACTTTCCTGGGTGCAGTTTTTTTTGGAGATCTGGGTAACCAGAAGTTTATGACTGTCCTCTCTTTCTTCGTGTATTTTTATTTTGCTAAGGTGCTTGTCGGAGATCCAATCCATAAGAAAAGCTAAGAGCTCATAAACTTGTGAATTCATTGGTAGCTGTAATACATCCAAAACATCAGATATTTCAGCTTTCCAGTTAATGATTTTTCTAAGCCAAAATAGTAACAGACTGAAATATATGAGTACATTAGTTCTGAAATATTATGCATAATTTAAAAGTGGATGAGTGTATGCCTGATAAAATCTGGGAGGTAAGTTACTGTATTGGGAGCCTGTGGAAAACATTATATTCAAGGAAATAGTGATCTTGAACAGGCCATGTCTCCTCTGTCGGGTCTTGTACCCTGAGTCTGAGAAGCCTGAATGTTATTTAATACAATCTGTAACTTATAATATGTCTGGGAAAGGTAAACTGTATGTGGATCAAGGGGTGGAAGGTGACAATCCTGACCCGGAGACCACTGTACACTGAGGAGTCAGAGATCCACATCACAGTTTACCTGAGTAGGTGCAGCCTGTGCTGTGCTGCACAGATCCCTTGGCCGCAGGATAAACTCAGCCTGTAACAGGAGCCTGCAGGCAGCTCCCACTTGGTACCGGTGATCGTGCCTCCTGCCTGGCCATGCCTTTGTCTAAAAGGGCAACAAGAAGTTCTCCTGTGAACGTCCTTCATGAACAGAGTTGTTTTCTTGTAAGAAAACTATATAATAGCTTGAATGACCAAAAAGGAGGAGCTTCTCTCCATGGACAGGACCTGCTCAGCATGCCTTGGGAAAAATCCACCTGGGCTCCATCTGATGCTGCACAAACACAAGGTTCCCGGCATTTGAAGGGACGTAAGATTTACTCACTATCTATATTCCTCCTCTTATTCTGTCTTATTAGAACAGCTATTTCATTAAGCCATTTGTTGTCAGGCCTTTCTTATAGAGATCCAGAAAGAACCTGCATTGTTTCTCTCTCTCACTTCACTCCCCTCCCCACTGCAGAACAGGTACTATTTGTGATGGTTTCTGGGTGTGAAAAAATATGCACATAATTTATTTTGTACTTAGACAAATGGTTATAAAAGGCCTGGGAAAAGATTTTCACATACAGAATCACTCCATTTTATAATTCTGGCCAGATGAATTACATGAGAAAGCAAATCTTTAATGTCCTTTGCACGTGGAAATTCTCATTTCAATACACTAAACCTCTACACTAGACCATACAATCCACTGTTGTTAAAATTTAACTGGGTAACTAGCATTGTTAGAAAAAGCACAAAGACTTCATGAAATTGTCACTCTGTCCCTGTACTACACTGTAGTGAAGCACTCTATGAAAGCTATCCAGAGGTACGTGAAGACAAGCTGCACAAACAGTTCTCTAAAGACTTCAAAAGTTTTCTTGTATCTACCTTCAGATAACTGTTTTCCTCTTCACTCAGAACTGTAACTACTGTTACTGTTTATATTTCACTTGCAACCAAAGTACACTAAAACCTATGTAAACAGAGAAATATGTTGGCTATATATAGACAGCACAGTTTTAAGACATCTGATGTAATTAATTAAGTAGGATGGTGTGAATATCTCTTTCCCGTTTCACAGTTTAGCCTCTGGCTGGAGAAAATCATTACCAGTTGGGAGATGTTGGCAGAGTACTACCAGAGGACTTGCTACTAAATGGAACAACATGGAGACAGAAAGCATTTCATTAAGTGATGTAAGAAGATATTTTAAAGAAAACAAGGTGATAGTTTTGGAACTGTGTATGAACAAAGCATTTATTCCTCATTAAAGACCACTTCTCAAAAGAATAACAGTAGTACAATCACCTCTGGCTTACAAAATTAAAATTCTTTATCTGATACCTCTGACTGACTACTTTTTAGCTGGTGTTATTCATAAGAACAGTGCTGTACTGTAGCAGCAACCAGAAAGTTTAAGATTTCCTCTGACACAGTGAAAGAAGCCAGTTACAGTGTAAGCAGGTTATAATTTTAATTGACAGATGAAAGATCATGTGACAGGAAGAGAAAAACATACCATATAAATAAAAATATATACATACACTATATACATAGACAATATGAAATCCAACATTTTCAGCAACAAGGTTAATTCTTTAACTGCCTGTTTTCCCCCAATATAATCTGTACCTTTTCTTACTGTAACTAATTCACCCATAAAATAAATACAATTGGAAGTTACATTTTCTAATTTCTAGCAGCTACACAGAGAATGTTCTACTGCCTAATGTCTTTAGAACGAATCTTTCATTTTGCCTAATTCTTACCTTAGCAATTTTTGATGTTACCGTCACTTTTTCCTGCTTGACAGGTTTACTTTGTTGCACCACTTGACATATATCCTTAGACTTCTGTACCATTAAAAATTCATGCTTCCTCTACAACAAAATGTAACAATGAATTATATTTCATTTGTTACCTACAAAGGAAGCAGGTACATGTAAGGACAAACCTTACTTGTAGATTCTCTAAACGAGCTTGTACTTTTCTTGCTTGACCTTCCAACTTCTTGTTCAGCTCAGTTACATCACTTAACTGAAAGAATCAGAAAATATTAAAGTATTTGTAAATTCAAAACTCACTTCTTGACTTAATTATCGCACTGAAATAATTTGATGTGGTTGCTGAGCAGCTAAATTATTTAAGTTGAAGTTTTTTTTTTCCTGAACATGTAAAGTGATAGAAACAAAATCATCATCCACCTCCGCAACAAATCACAGAATCATAGACTGGCTCAAGTTGGCAAGCACCTCTGGAGGCCATCTGGTCCAACCCCCCAGCTCAAGCAGGGCCACCTAGGGCCGGTTGCCCAGGACCATATCCAGACAGCTTTTGAGTATCTCCAAGGTGGGAGACTCCACCACCTCTCTGGGCAACCTGTTCCAGGATAAATAAGTCAGCAGTAGCTCTTTGTTGACCCACAGACCAACCTTTCAGTTTGCAGGGGAAGAATAAGCACTACAATGCCTCTCTAGATATACAGGCACTACACATTTGATTACTTTTCATGAAGAAGTGACATAAAAATGGAGCGTGCATTTCAAGAATGGTCCAATAGTCCTGTTAATGGGGAGGGTGAAAGTTTTCTTCTCTGCAGAATGAAACAGTTACTGACCATGCTACAAAAACAGTTTGCTCTGCGAGAAAAGACAAGGGAAACTGTAACCTCCATTTAAACATAAGAAACATGCTCTAGGCATACAATAATGAACAGCATGATTTTCATGGAAGCCCTCAGTTTGCACAGAAATGCAAAGATTTTATAGTGAGAAGAGATAAAGATACAGATGGGTTGCACCAGAACCATCAACATTCTAGAGTTAGGTCTGACCTTCTCTAAGAGAAAGAATAAGGCTCTGTTATAGATTTTTATTTTACTCAGACTATCAGAACTCTAATTAATTCACTGAATAAACAATGGTCAAATAGTTTAGATAGCAATTTGTGTGTCAGCATTTTAGCTCAGACTTAAGTCAAGTGAGATGAAAATTCTTACTCTCTGTATTACTATGAACCACTGTCTCAGTTTAAGAACTGAGAAAATACTGCCTTAATTAACATTTGTAAAAATAACTGAAAATACTGAGCAAACATGAAGTTAGAAATACACATTCTACTTTTCATTTAATAGAATCAGCACAGCAATTCAGCACAGGGTGGATTCTATTCTGTTATAAAATACTTTCGCTCCATCCACTCTCAATTTGCTTCAGAGGACATGGATTTGTCCTTCCTAACAATTAGCTGTTGCTAGTGGGTCAGAAGAATAAGTCCAACTTTTTTTATACTGTAAAAGATCAAAGAGGCTAAATTTCAAGTACTAGAAAAAGGTGTGGAAAGTACTTTCAGTCATTCATACAATTCTTGTCTAACAGAAACAAAAAATCAGCAATTTTGCAAACTTAAGCTGTTCAAATAGTAAAACTTAACTGTAACTTGTAAAATTATTGATAACGGTAAATAACTAATTTTACCTGTTTTCTTAAAGAGTCATTCATTTCCTTCAAGGTGTCAAATGACGACTTCAGCCTTCTATTTTCTTTCGTTATTTCTCTCAAGGCTTCTGTCAGCTGTTTAACTTCTGCCTCATGTTGCTATAGAAATATCAAATTTAAAAACATGATTTACAAGAGACTATTTTAGAAACAATTCTAAGCTAAGTTCCATTTTAGTGTTAAAATAATATGACAAACTTTCAAAGATCAAGTTTGTAATTCTGCATGGCCAAATTTGCACCTTCAACCAGTATTGAGAAAAACAACATCCACACTGCCTATTAAGAAGAATCTATAAAGAAACTGAGAGCAACATGCACAGCCAATTGCTCTTATTCTTTCCAGATTCCACCCGACACAGATTATATCCATATGTACGTTTCTCAGACAAGTCAAATGTGGGAAAGGTTTGTGAACTAAAACCAATGACAAAACTTTTATTTACAGCTTATTCTTCCATATAATTACAAAAAAAGTGATTCTGTTTTGCAGCAACTTTTGAGGTTTCAACTAGTGTTTCTGGCTTTGCTCACTCTGAATCATGCAGAGCCAGAAACTATTCCTATGTCTCTTAGGCTAGTGCTCTGGTTTACAGCACAAGCATAGGAATTGCTAACTACAACCTGCATATCCACTGCTTTTCTTCTCATTCCCCTGAACCTTATTTTAGATTTAATCCTCTCTGGACACCAGTGCAACTGGTGTACCTCAGATTTGGTAAAACAGTAAAGTTTTATTTTACTGAAAATATTCCAGCTATATATACTTACTATCTTTCATTTCTCCCTTTCCATGAATTCACTATTCTTCACTCATTCACCCACTCATTCTCTACTTTTCCATTTCCAGCCATATCCTCTCTTCCTACACGTGCAAATAACAAAAATAAAGCACCGTAGAAGTTTAAAGGAAGAAAGCCCTGAAGAGATCCTTCTCTATTATGGGTCCCTTCCAACTTGAGATATTCTATGGTTCTATATTTCTGCTTGGAAGCACAGTAACTTCCATTCCAGCTATACAGAAAAACCATCTACAGCTGCTTTTTTCTCAACTGCCGCTCTTCTTCAGGCAATAGGATCAAAACAGCTGTGGGCAGGACATTCTTGTCTAAAGCACCTACCCACACTTGGCTAAGACGACATGAAATGACAGATCCCCTTTTCATACCAATAAACGTGCAGGGGCTGCCAACGTATAATTGACTGCACCCTATCACAACACATGGAATGTTTCACTTCCATCTTCTATGTACACAGTTAAGAGCTTTATCTGAAGTTCAATAGCTGCTCTAGGAAGAATCAGTAGAGAATTATTAATCTGAAAGGTAAGTAGAATCAACTCAGTTGTTAAGCCATAGGGTTGTAGGTGATGCCGTAAGCAAATCAGGTGATGTCACCCATATCATAACCAGCTATATCCTCCTGCTATTCACTCCTGCCAGATGTTTGCCTAGTCTGTTCTTAAGTCCTCCAACACTGGAAACACTGCAGCCTTACCAATCTACCTGTCCCTATGCTTAACTATTTTTGTTTAGATCTAGTTTTTCCTAACACTTAACCTTATTACTACTACTACTTCTCCTATCACAGACATGAAAACAAGAATAAGTTTCTTCCTCTTTGTTGCAGCCTTTTATGTAGCTGAAGCTGGGCACGTTCACCCTCAGTTCATCCTGTATGTTGAACCCGTGCATCCGCTCATCATTCTCTATTTCTGCAGCTGATATTTCTATTCAAGTGCAATACTGCACATTCACACCTTCTGAATAGTACAATGGCTTTTTTCAAACCTACCATATCTTCAATTTGTCAAGATCAATTTTAATCCTAATGATCTTCCCCAGTATGCTTGAAATTCCCCCTCACTTGCTATTTTCTTCAAATTTAATAAATGTGCTCTTTCTCACCATCAAACTTCTTATTGAAAATACTGAATAATACTGGATGGAAAAGATATTCCAGAATCCACTATGTACATTCCTTCAACTTTACTGTGAACTACTGTCTCGCTACAGCTTTACACCAACTGCATTACGTCTATGTTATACTTTCCTAATACGATTATGAAAATGCCATGCAAACCTGTATAAAAAATTTCTAATTAAGTCCAGACATATATATAACTACTACTCCTCTATTAGCAATACCCGTCACCTTGCTGTAGTGGAAATGAGACTGATTTGACAATTTACGATTAACATACGCTAGTAGTTATTTATTGCATTGTTTTCTGCATTGTGCTTCCTGTGGTTTGTTCATAGCTTGATTTGGGATTTATTTATTAATTTATTTTGAGAATTGGCATTAAGTTGACAGCTGTACAACTCCTTCCCTTTGAAAAGAAAGGCACCACATTTTTTTAGTTTTCTAATACTCCATTTGACCTCCAAAAATTTTCACAGATAACCACTAATTTTTCCTGGGTTTTCATCAGCCAGTTCTCTAACTGGTGTAACATTCTTAAAGCCCAGAAGATTTGAAACATCTAAATTAACACCTTAACCTATTCCTTCCCTGTTCAAAAGTTGAGGTCCCGCTCCTCTGACACCCTTTCCCCCTTTTTAACATGTAGTCTATCCTCCCTCAACAGCTTGTGGGAAAGGTTTATCTGCACACTTCAAAGAAATTTAATTTCTCAGCTTATGTTTTTGACATATATTTAAGGACTTCTCTTGGTGATCTTCTGGACAATAACCAAAACCAAGACCTAAATTCAATAGCAAACACACACAAGAACAGTGTTGTTGAACACATTTTTCCGTTGTTGAAATCATACCATTTCATTTCCTCTCACACCCCCAAAGTTAAGTTGATCTTTTCTTTCTTTGAACTTTTTGAGTGTTTTTCTGCTAATACCCTCTGCAATAGCTGTCACTTCGTAAGATCTCGTTGTGTCTTAAAGCCTTCCCAAGGAAATCTACTTCAACTACAGCTAATGCAAAGATACTCATTTAGGTTACACACAATTACAGAGACACCACAATTTTTTCTCTAATACCGGTCATATAGTTTTTGCTATTTTAGAAATGTTACCTTTCTTTTCTAAATTGTAACAGTAAAATGTACCTACACATCAGACAACTAAATGCACCATTCTGAAACAGAACCCATACAAAAACCCTATCAATATTGTTTCGTACTTTTTATGTAAACCTTTCATTTGGGGATTTCAAGCACTTTAAAGAAATAAGCATTATATCCAGCAAACACGTGATGACTTAAGATAACTACAAACAAGTTAAATGGCATGTAGAGTGATAAACATGATTAAATATATTACTGCACCTCTTTTATAATTCCGATTTTTGTGTGAACTTCTTCCTCAACACCTCTTATTTTAGCCAAAGCTGCTTCATGTCTAAAAAGTAATGCTTCTCGCTCTGTTAGAAAATGCTCTTTTTTCTGGAGTTGCAGAGCATACTCCTGCTGTGCTGAACTTTCTCTCTGTATCAAGAAAACAAATTTTGAGACGGCTTTAAAATCCATGAAATTTTCACAATTTATACTGAATTTGAATTTTCTCTCCCAGAGATATGCTTAGCTTTTTGTAAAATTATACAGTGTTGCACAATAGCTTACTAATTAAAAGTATCCTGATGGACATCTATGTTCATTTTCCCCACACATTAACCCAAATGACTTTGATGTGCAGCAGGATGGCTCGGCTTCCCAAAATACAAAATTCAACTCTTTATGGTTGTTCAAGTATAAACCTAGACAAATAAACTTAGGCTTTTGCTTCCAAAAGTTTTGGATAATGGTATTAACTGCAAGACAAAACAGAATCTGATGTTCATCTATCCTGAACTAGATTACTATATTGTTTCTTCAATTAGTGGGAAGCATCCCTGAAAAAGTGGTGAGGACAAAAAGAGATACAAAATTATTTTTGCAAAAGACAGTCCTGGCAGGGAATCTAGCAGAAGTACGGGAGCTATTATAGAATAAAACCATATAGGAGGTTCTTCTGTTAGCGGCCTAGGTCTGCTAGGGGATGAACTGTTGGGATTCCCCAGCAGCAGAAAAGTAAAGATAAAGCAGAATGAGGGGTTTTCGCAGGAGGCCATGAAGGCAAGCACTCTTGAATGCCTAGAGTCAGGAGAATAGTTTCAGATGCTCTCAGGAGAAGCAATGGTTGCAGGTGTTTCCCTCCATGCCCACAGTGTGTCACAAGACACTCCTCTTGGATGTAGAAGCACTGTGTTCAAACTCCCTCAAGCCGAATTTTATCTTATCTACCCACTATGTGAGTCAAAGCACCACTACCAAATCAGTGAATTAATTTAGAGGAAGAGGCAGATGATGACAGAGTTTTAGTATATAAGTCACTGTGATTAGTATAAGTAATAAGTAATAGTTTTAGTATATAAATAATTAAGTTTTAGTGTATAAGTAATAGTGATTTAATATATAAGTAATTTCTGAATTCTCTGTCAAAAGTGACAATCTTCATAACATTACTCAACAAAATTTTTAAGGCGATTCCAGTTCCTACCTGGAGCTTCTGATGTATGACAAATAATTCATCATAAATTTGACCGATGTGAGGCGGTATTAAGCCTTGACTATTGCATGCTTGAGCATCAGTTCCACTCACAATTTTCCTTACCAAACCACTAGTAATATTTTGGTCACTATTTTCTCTTGTATTTGCAGGCAAATGGGATGGTAAGGTGCTGCCTATGGAAAGGAAAGACCCATTTTACATTAAAAAATTAGGCCTAGATAAATAATGACATGATTGTTGTTCTAAAACATCAAAAACTTACTTTAGGCATTTAAAGTGACAAGTATAGAGCAAGAGGTATCAAAATGAGAAAGTAATCTCCTAAAGAATTATGGAGAACTGCTTAGAGCTGTGTTCTATGAGTTGTTTGAATCGATCAGTGATCAATCAAGTTTTATAAGTAAAACTATGTCCTCCACTTCAATATAGAAATCCCACAGAAATCTGTATGAAATCTATGCCCAGACTGAATCATAGTGTGGCCAAAATCTCCTATTATTTTTGTAAGGTTTTCAGGCAAGTGATTTGCTGCTGACTAGACCTTGGCCTGACAGATTCTAAGTTAACAGAACAAGACTTAAGAAACTACTGGACACGACATGAGAAACTGCTAGACATGACAGATTACAGTGTAAGAAGCTGATGAAAGTTGCAGATAGCAGTGAGGAATGGCTGGATTTCACAAATAGTCAAATGGCCAAAATTCACAGATAGTTGAAGGGAAGTATTGGGATCTTTTGGGGAGAGACATCTTCCAAGGCCAACCGCACCTAGGTACCACATCAGGCCAAGATTACCTAGGTGACAGTATCAGAAATACAAGTTTGGGAACTGTGCTGGTTTTGGCTGGGATAGAGTTAATTTTCTTCACCGTAGCTAGTATGGGGCTGTGTTTTGGATTTGTGCTGGAAACAGTGTTGATAACACAGGGATGTTTTCGTTACTGCTGAGCAGGGCTTACACAGAGTCAAGGCCTGTTCTGCTCCGCACCCTGCCCCAGCGAGAGGCTGGGGGTGCACAAGGAGTTGGGAGGGGACACAGCCAGGACAGCTGACCCCAGCTGACTAAAGGGATATCCCACACCATATGACGTCATGCTCAGCATATAAAGCTGGGGGAAGAAGAAGGAAGCGGGGGGTGTGTGGAGCGATGGCGTTCATCTTCCCAAGACACCGTTACGCATGATGGAGCCCTGCTGTCCTGGAGATGGCTGAACACCTGCCTGCCCATGGGAAGGAGTGAACGAATTCCTGGTTTTGCTTTGCTTGTGCGCGGCTTTTGCTTTACCTGTTAAACTGTCTTTATCTCAACCCACGAGTTTTCTCACTTTTACCCTTCCAATTCTCTCCCTTCATACTGGGTGGGGGAGAGTGAGCAAGCAGTTGTATGGGGCTGAGCTGCCTGAGGGGGGTTAAACCGCAACAGGTACAGATGTAGCAAAACCCAGACCAATGATGAAAAAGTATTAGGGATAGGTTGTTTATTTGGCAGGCAACTGGGGAACAGAAAAGAAGGAGAAGGAGCATCAAGAAACAGGAAAAAGGTTACTAGATAAGCAAATGATGTAATCAGGGCTAATTGGTGGTATGCATCAGGCAGCCTTGTGGTTGACCACCCATCACAGCTGGAGCAGGACAATAAACCAAACCTGTTGTTCTACTACAGCGTGTCTGCTTCAAGGGTGAGGAAGGAGAGCATAACTAGTACAATGCCACATAAATCATAACAGAAAAAAAAGGGAAAAGAAACCAGAAAAAAAGCAGTCATATCTGAAACAAACATGTGTGATGTTTATCAGAGTTCTGTATTTATTTTGTCTTTGATCCCAAATACTGTAAACTATGCATTTTTCCTGGTGTAATTAAACTCCTTTTTTTCCTTTTTCTTTTCAGAAAGAATGTGTTGTCAGAAAGCTCTTCTTATACTTTCCCCACCCATTTAATACAACTCTTGGCGAGAGTCTATTACAATTCTATTGATCTGTCCCGCCTGGCTTCTGAAATTCCTTTTAGACACTTTGGGGTTGGTTGGCTGTCTGTCTGTCTCCACACTTCCAGATTCACTTTCAAAAGAATACATGAATGTTCTTCTAAACCTAAAACTCTCCCCAAGAGACAGAGCTACACTGATTCACAAATTCCTCCAATTGTGGCAGCATTTTCAAACGTTTGCAGTGAATTAATGCCAGCTGGTCCCTGCTACAATCTTCCAGTTAGAATTTCCTGAGTTAACTGAACAACAGATGACACTCTCTCTCTACCCATTGCCAGTTTTCAATCCTTAAACTGACAAAAGACTTATGACTTAAGAGTTGTAGTATTTGTAATGCAGCTACCTACTTAAAACAAAACAAACAAACAAAAAACCCCAAACCCACCCTGTTTCTGCATTCATATTATAAAGTCACCTGGCAACCAGTTTCATAAAAGGTTGATTTTTCTTTTCAAAATGTATGTTAGTATTGCATCAAGTATGTCTGGACATCCTGAACTAATTCTAAGGGAGTCACTCATACTTACATGAAAGGTTAAATCCCCATATTAAAATACATTTTAGCCAATTATCATATTTGTGAACTGAATAGAAATACATTTACTATAAAGTTTTTTAAATTACATATTATACTTCATGCAGAGTTGTAAAAATATTTAAAATTCCGTATTTATTACCTGTTTCCACAAATATAGCTGTATTTTGAACTGCATCAGTTCCAGAGCAATTAATGGTCTTTTCTTCTATTTCTAGACCACTTGAATCACAAAAAGAATCTTGCTCATCATCAAAACTAAAAGAAAATACAAAAAAGGAATAATTTGAAATCACTCAGTCCCTTTCTAACACACTACATTTAGAGAAGTTTGTATAAAAATGTAAACAATGTTCTATCTAAGATTTTTAGATTTGACTGGTAACAAATAGCAGAGTTAAATCATATGGATTATTACTCACAAGATTTTAACCACAACAATTAGTAAAGTTGCTGACTTGAGTGGTAACAATAACTAGAATTTTCATGCTGTAAGCACATGTATGCAGCAGGTAAAACCTACAACCCTCCTCTCACCACCAACCACCAAATTCCAGGAAAGATAAAAATACAAAACCCCTTTTTTCATTATTTTTTCATATTTGCCGTAAAGTAGCCCTGAAAAGAGATTTCTTGGCTTTTGGAATCAAATTATCTCCAAATAAACTTAAAGCTGTTCATCAGTTTGAGCTATTTGCTTTCCTCCTCATTCAGTTTATATCATCAGTCCAGTTTATATCATGCCTGTATTCAGTTTATATCACCTTGTTCAGTTTTGTATCACCCCTGTATCCCATTAGCAATTCCAACACAGATTAGATTAGAAAGTGAGCAAGACAATACTTCTTATCAAAATCAGCATTCACATTATTTCATACATCGACCACAAACAGTTCTTTACTTAACAAGAAAACAAGAATCTTAAAACAACTTTTGGATCCGTGCAATCTGAACGTATTACTCATGGTTTATCTGGATTATGAGAAATAATAAATGATAAAGGAGAGCTGAAGAGAGAAAACCTCTTACCAATCCCAGTCTTCAAAACTTTGTAGGAAATCACTAGAAGATCTGATGCTGTTCTCTCTTCCACTTTCAGTAAATTCTGACTCTAAAGAACATTTGGATAAAGAAATAGTTGTATTTTCCAGTGAGCTGTCCATGTCACCTGGAATATATAAAATAATACTAATTTTATTTTGCATTTGAGAAGCTGACATTAAGAAATCTACAAGGGCTTATTAGAAATGCTTGCCACGTAATCATGTAGGTTTAAGAACCAAAAAAACCACTGACGCAGTCTGACAAATGAACGAAGAATTATAATAGCTTAAACTATAGGAAGAATTATTTAGTTTTCAAACCAGATTTGTCTTTCTGAAGTCTTACAGCTTGCCTTCATATACTAATTTTTCTATAACCAAAGCCTGATAAATACATTGTTTTACCCTGCTGTCCATGTGCACCAGCAACGTACTTCTCAAGAAGCCCAAAAACCTTCTAAATATTAAACGTGTATGTATCTTTAAATTAAAGCTAAACGTGTGCATTATGAGGTGGACTGATACCGACTACTTCAAGCAGGACTTAAACACAAACAGGTTGGGAACCACTGTCCTAAAGCATCCTTTGTGCCCTTCATGTGAATGTTAACATTCCCAGGCTGGCTCCCAGATATCACAAACCCCTGATCAAGAAAGTCTACCTATTTAAAATTAGAAAATACAAAACTACTTAAAATAAATTTAGGAATAATACAGTTTTAGTATATATTTTTCCTGGAAAAGACATCAAAGCACCATTGTTTGGTATTACCTTTGGATACTAGGGAGCCTCCACTCTTACATTCGGTATGTAATGCTCCTGAAAGGCAGTCCTACAAGAAAGCACAAAACCACTGTAATATAGTCAGAATTTTCAGGGAAAGTGTATGTTACAACTTATTTGTTTAACAGTTACAACGCCCCATAACAGAACTTACTACAAACTACTGACTTTGAAAAGGGAAGTGTTTTTTTTTAATGTATAAATGGCCCTTATATTAATATAATGAGGCAAACATACTCCCCACGGTCTAATAATGAAATATTCATAGTGTTACATGTTAAAATATTTGAGAGAATACAAGACACTATGAAGACTGACATAAAATAAGGGCATAAACGTAGGATTAGGTAATCACGGAAACAGTGCCATCTATCTTCACATCTAGGCTTTTTATGTCAGTTTCCTCTTCTACTTTTTCCTACTAACTTGTAACTACATACTAAAAAAAAAATGACAGAAGCATTAAGCTACAAGCAAAATCAATTAAATGTACTTTAGAAAAGATCAGACTCAAAGCAGCTCTCATGATCTTAGCTGTGTTTCACTGCATCTCTGCTATGCTCCAAGTGATCAACTGCTGTATTTTCTTGTGCTTAAATACTGCTTTTTAATGAAATAACAAAACACACAAACAAACCTAGTATTTCCTCCCTTGCAAGCATTACACTTTGAAGAAAAATAATTTTCAAAAGTTATCTTTAAAAAACTATCACTGAGACTTTAAAGAACAGTACTGTAATTCAAAGCAGAATATTCCCCAAGAAAAAAAATAGCACCTAGAGCACCACAAAATGCTATCCGAGTTGCAAATCCTTCTGAAGGAACTAAGGGCAGATAGATCCAGGTTTTAGCTGCTAAAGAACTCAAATCTTCACCTCATATTTGGGACGGTTCCTGATCCTAAAATGGAAAGTCACACTTCCTCAGAAAAAAAGGCTAGTTTCTGTATTCATTTGGTGATTCCCAGGACGAACTTGATCTCCCAGTCCAACTACGTGTCTAGCCCAAACCCAGCTTTCAATCTCTCCCAATCTTCAGCTGCTCATGGGTATTTTGACAACATATCACTTCCCTTGCAGCATGAGTTTCAACACTTAAGGTCTGTTATCCCCTGGGCACACTGGAAGCATTTGACCCATGGAACACAGATGCAAGAAAGTTGCACAAAAAATTGTCTCAGTGAAAGACAAACAGACTTCAGACAAAATAAAAGTAATCACAATCCAGTTCCAGCATTCATACCAGTGCAAAGAACCTGGCATTCTCTGGTGTAAAATAACATTGCTTTACCTCGGCAAAGGAATGATACCTATCATAACTTACTGTCTGGTCACTGTAGCAGCCTCTTATGAACTATGGGTTTGCTTCTCCTCTGGTTGACTAGATATGGAACAATTTCCTGCTCCCTGAAAACAGAGCTAATCACTAAGCTTTACGAAAAACCACAAACACTCCTAACATTCTAAATAAGGCTAGCAATTGCTGTAGCAAAAGATGATGTGAATGAAATGTGTTATCCAATTATATATATTTCATGCGTGCCTAGTATACTACTTCTAAGAGGATTCACGTATTATCTTACCCAACTGGCAGGCACCAGAAGGTTTTAGGGAAAAACTAAGTGCCGAGCTGCTCAGACTGTGTTTTGGGAATGCATAAAATTTGGAATTGCAATTTCCCGTGAAATTTCAAGTTCAGCCAAGGATGACTCTTCAGCACTTCCACTATAACACAATCGGAGCAGAAGGACAGAGGTAGGATCAGAAAGAACACGCTTTACACGTAAGCTCCTGAAGTCTGTTTAAATCCCATTTTTGGCTCTCGCGCTGTACGTGTATGTAAGACATTGTGTTTACAATGAACCCCAAGGGAGGGGACACAGACACCCCACCCCCCTCCCAGCGCCTCAGGGACTGGGCGAGGAGGAACGGCTTTCCTCCTCCTCCTCCTCCTCCCCCCACGCCGCC